GGTAGGTTCCGGGCGTTCTGAGGTTACATTCAGGAATCTGACCTTCGTTGTACGCTTGCATTCTTGAGACACTGTCAGGCCAGTGCTCGCCAAGATCTTCTGTTTCAGTTCCAAACAATAGATGCCCATCCAGAATCTCATATTGGCAGTTCTTTAGAAGATATACTGCCGAAATGCAGTTGATATGAGTAGTGAACTAGGGTTCTACTGGTTGTTGGTTTCTATTTTTGCAGATTTTTATTATTGCGGTTTACTTAACTGCTAAATTATGGGGGACTGAATGGGCTGCTGGAGGGGCCGTTGTGACGCAGATTTTGAATTGTAAACGTACTCCAAACTATGAAACGGCCGGTAAACTTTTCTAACCCTGACAATTCCAGCCTTACACTGAAACTGTGAGCTCTTTTACTTTGGTGTGATAGCTTGAATCTACATCATAACGACAAAATTTATCCATTTGTTTAACCCTACAGTGCATTGGATGGACATGGTACTTGGCTAATGATATGCAATTTAGCCTTGTGTTGGCTCCGATTTTCATCACTTTGACAGCTTGGTAAGTAAAGATCAAGCATCTTTGCATGCATGTCCTAACAAAAGTTTTGTTCGCATTAGTTCAAGACGCTAACTGATATCGTCCGTGCGCATGATGGTTTTTTCCGCATCAATCTTCTGCCTGTCGATCATGGACCAATCAACGATCCTGTCGGGCTACAATCTAAACAGCCAATCAAAATGCATTCTTTACTAAATCTAGACGTTTTAGGAGGAGTGGTATTTTTCCTTAAAGTTCAACAAGTGGTATTAGCATTCAACAAAATTCATCATTGTGGTCACAGATTTTTTTACTTTTTTTATAGGAACCAACTCGCTGGCCTCATTTTCGCAATTTCGCTGATAATATCAGGGACTGCTGCTTACGGGGGGATAAGTTATGCTTACAATTTTGGCATACTTCCATATGACAGGTAAGTTTAACCATATTTTCATGGGATCCGCGTTGTGTTTGTTGTTCTTATTGTGTTTGTTATTCTTACCGCCCAATCCTTGAAATGCGTACCAAATGAATAGGTCTGTTCGAAAATGCAGCCGCTGACCATCTAGGAGTTTTGTTAGGAGAATATCTGATGGTTGAGCACGTGATTCTTGATCTGTCGCCAATCCGGGTGACATCCTTCACTGACTGATGATGTCGCCTTATGGTATATTTCCAAGAGAAATCGTGGTAGAAGGTGCCAAACCACCGAATTAGAGCTTCCATAGGCGATCAGAGACAATCTCTTCTTGGTGAGTTTACTCTCATAAAGAGCACAAACCTATGAGTGAAACTGAGTTAGGTCGGGTGTACATGTGTGCGTAAAATGTCGCGTCATGCAAAACTGAGTTTTTCCTGAACAGAATACGATTTGGAGAAGTGAGTATAAATGCGCTGTCCCAACAGTATCTTTGATATATACCGAGAAGAATGCTTTATAAGGAAATGCTCCATAGGAATGGTTCGCGCAACATTTTGGCTTCAGTCCAGTACGGTTGTAGTGTTTCCCTGAATGCCAGGAGTATATTTAACGTTCAGCTGTGGCACCCTTTTGGTGCCTAGCTGTCATGCCACCCGAAGGTTGCACGAGGGCTGGGATACTGCCGGTTTGCCCAAGCCTAGACAGGGGAAGTCGAGAGTCAGAAAATTCGTGCTCTAACCACTTGGACCATCTCGCTAAATCGCTAAAACCAGCAGCAAACCAGTTTACAACAACGCACAGCTCGTTCAAGATGAGTATCCACCAACAACACAAATTCACGCCTTCAGGAGCCACATACGCACTCACCGCGTTAAATGAGCACTTCAATCATCAATCATCCAGTCTTAAAGCAACGCAATGGAATATACTGGTGCTCTCATTTTTGATTCTGTCCAATGCGTTTAGTTCGAACTCTCAGCACTTCCTTTAGCTTCGCAGCGTCAGGAGGTCTATTTGAAAAAACACTAGGCAACGGATTGTTGATCCGTCTATCGAGTCTGTCGAATGACTTGCTAACGTTTCTTCACATCGACAGTTCGCAAACAGATGATATCCAGTCTGATGGTGACCAGAAGTGGCAGATTCACAGACAGACTCTGAGGACAGAGCAAGCGGTGGTCAACACAGCCCAACTAAGAATATCTCTACTACTACGCATAACAACGTCAAATTAAGGAAGCAAGATGAGCTATACTGCCTTTCTTCGAAGTGAGTGCCGAACATCCTACTGTTCCATTCTAATGAACTATCTGAAATACTATCTTATATGATAAACCCTTCATGTGTAAAACTGTGCGTAAGAGCGTCTCCCTCTTGCCATAATCTGGGTAGACTAACTGAACAAGGAACGTGAGTTTATTGAGCTCCAGTAATTTCCGCCTCAGCGGAGTGGCGAGCTTGTACTTTTTCAGCTTTATCACAAATCTACTTAGATGTGTTACAGTGAGTTACCGTCAAACAACAAAGAGGTCGACCATGACGCATTACGAGTCACAAACGAACCAACCGGAAGTGAGAATAATGGACAAAATTTTCAACAGTAGTGTGCCCGTAGAGATCAAGAAATACAAACCTCAACGCTACACAGATAACGATTGGACCAATAAGAATCTAAGCGCGGTAATTGTCAATGGCCAGTCTGGTTACAGCTCAAAGCAGCTCGTTGTAAACTATATGAGCGTGAGCACGAAGAGAGGGACTACCCACTCAATTGCGCACTGAAAATGTCTCCTCGAATGGTGACGAAACATTTGCAAATCAATTGCATATCTCGGTATGCATACCGACAGCTGCCTGATCAATTACCAATGGGTTAATATTTTTGTACCGGTTTTTGAATAAATTTTGCGTTTTCCATGAAGATTATGACTGTTACTTGGACGCAGTTCCATTGTTTAAAAACTGCAACTTCGGACTGCTTAACTTAGTTTTGTGGAAACACTTTTTACGTCCACACCACTCTCTTCTCGTTCTGGAGTCCACACCGAAGCGGAAAGCAGTTGACTCAAGCATTTCTCTCTTACTAGAGCTTAGCAGCAGCGTATATCCTTGACCGTGCCGGAGTGTCAATTTCAGAAATCTGACATGCGAGGCGAGAGAGTTTCCATTCTTCCACCAGCACATGCTGGACTCATCTGAACAGGTGTTCGAACTTGAGTGATGTGATGAGTTTCCTAGTTGGTTGTGCTGTTTTTGTGTTGCCTAATGTGTAGGTTTTCCGTCTTCGGTTCGATTGCTTTATTCGCGAAAACCCTGTTGATCAGGCTGGACTGACCTCTGTCCTGTTCTGAATAAAATAGTTGAAGTGAAAATTAGTCAAAGAGTGATTACTTGCCGGAAGACGTTTTGTTGCCAGTCGTTTCGGGGTTAGGTGGGTGGATGACTTCTGTGACGAGTGGATAGAAAGACAAACGTGTGATTGGTTAAACCCTCCTGGATCTTGCTATTGGCCGAGTTTCCGTGAAACCTTTTACAATCGGTCAACTAATTCAAGTCTTTTTGACCGCCTTCTCCACTTAAACTAGCCGGACAGAGTTAACTGCGGTTACCATCTGGAAGAATAACGGACGCGTGGTTTCCATAGGGGGTCGAGCCTCAGTACTCTTTCAAGGAGGATTTCAGCAACATAGTTCTTCTACAGAAAAGCAATTTTTATCCCGAACGAGTGTAACGGTGGTACTACTGGTGGGAGGCATGCGAGTAGTATGTTTTATTCTTGGAATTTCGCTTCGCGTCTCTTGAAAAGGGGAGATCTGTTGCGGAATTTGTGGAGACGCTTTGTAACATTTACTTGGATTTGAGCAATGAATGACTTGAGTCAATGAATATCCAGGAACGTTCAAGAAGTCGCGTTCAGGAAAAGATGGATGTCCACTTTTGTAAATAAGATGCAAATGAGAGTTTTCCTTCCTTGTCCAATAGTTTGTAACCGGTCAGTTGGCAATTTCCAATGAATAACTTCGCAGCGAGGGCCTTCTTCCATTCACCGGTAGTGATGCAATCGACCACGTTTCATACGAATTCAGGTCCCAGGATGTTTTATGCATGGAAGATAACTGGGCTCGTCGGCCTAGAGGTAGACTTAAGAACATCGTGGGCTCTCCTATGTTGTTTGAAACTCGGTCTGTATGTATAGAGTGATTGAAACGTCTTTGAGTCCTTCACACTTATTGCATGGGGGTCACAGCCAAACTCGGAACAAGATAACCGGATGATGATTTTCAGCACACATCAGGAAGGAACTACGGTAAATCGATGACAGTGATTTTTTTCAATTTTTAAGACAGTCCGCCTCTAAAAATAGTCACTGCCAGCCTCGGCATACAAATTATGCAGAATCGCAAATGTTGATGCTAAAATGAGTTGTTCAACTTGTTGTAATGCCGTATTTGTTTCAAATTTTATATTTTATGCTATAAAAATTGACCTCTACAGTCGGTTTTCAACCACCTACCACCCATTTTGCGGTTTTTTCCAGTACGGAGTTTTATCGAGTGTATGTCACACCTTACACAAGGTGGGGCACGTATGCCATCGGAATGATTCTAGGATGGATCCTCCTGAAATATCCCACACTTCGCATTGTGAGTACAGTTTAATGGAACTTTATTTTATCACACTTCTTGTCTAAGTGCCTGTTTCTTATTTCTGAGCAACATAAAAGTGCCCATCATGAAGGTAGGGGAGCTTACTTGTCTTGGAGTGAATTTGAATTGCCAACTAATAAGACATTCAGCGCCCCGGACAGATTCTTTATCGGCAAAGGTGATTTTTTTCAAGAGGAGAACAACATTCACACACATACGTCTACCACATTTATTTGCGCACGCAAAACCCAGCGTTCATCTTATGTAAGGGTCTTTAACCTGCGTTTCATAGGTCTTTAGTATCTGGATCACGGCTAATTTACTTCGGACTTAGGGCTTCTTCAGTCTTGTACACAAGACAGTCAAGTTTAACAAATCCCCTCATGGGATTTCAGTTGTTTGCCTTAACACGACAAAAAATAACGTTTTCGTAAAGTTTACCTGACTTTTGGGAATCCTTACATTCGATTGTTTTGTATTTATACTGTGAAAGTAAAATTGAAGTTGGTTCGCTGTATCCTGCATGACTTCGTAGGGTAACGCCTTCAAAAATTGGACAAACTTGCTAGATCAGGTCCACCTAAAACATTTCGTGCGCTGCAATCTGATTTGCAACTAATGGACAAATCCCAAAAGCTTAGTGGAGCAGACGTTTTTACTGCTGTTGGGACTCATCGGATGCCTCACTATGGGAATGCTTGATCCCTATAGCGAAGCCGCACATTCGCTGTCAAGCTAGTGAGCCTGATTAGGATATGGAACAGATCCGAGGAAGTTGCTGAGTTGGGATTTCAGTTGTTTGCCTTAACACGACGAAAAATAACGTTTTCGTAAAGTTTACCTGGCTTTTAGGAATCCTTACATTCGATTGTTCTGTATTTATACTGTAAAAGTATAATTGAAGTTGGTTCGCTGTATCCTGCATGACTTCGTAGGGTAACGCCTTCAAAAACTGGACAAACTTGCTAGATCAGGTCCACCTAAAACATTTCGTGCGCTGCAATCTGATTTGCAACTAATGGACAAATCCCAAAAGCTTAGTGGAGCAGACGTTTTTACTGCTGTTGGGACTCATCGGATGCCTCACTATGGGAATGCTTGATCCCTATAGCGAAGCCGCACATTCGCTGTCAAGCTAGTGAGCCTGATTAGGATATGGAACAGATCCGAGGAAGTTGCTGAGTTCAGCAAAATACACTCATTTGCAAACTAATTTGGTTTTGCGAGGGACTCATTTGGAATCCAACTGAATCTCTCGTTTGTGACTGAGTTATTCACCCATTCTTCCGACACTTTGTCCGAAACTGATTCAAAACGAATTTCATTGGAAGGGAATTTAACAAAAGTTTTCTCGTGGAATAAGTGCAATTTGAAAAAGACTTGCAGCTTGACAGCAGGGGAAGGCAAGGGAAGTCAAGTGAAGTTAGTCTATGCAGAAACACTGCGAATCTCTATTTAGTTATTTCGTCCCTGGTTTGAATCGTCAATGGTTTGCATCTCGTCAAACCCTGGGTCGATTGGAACGCGTTATCTTCCTACTGGACCGCGTTAGTGTACCGTCAGAAACCACTAGGCAATAGCAAAAACTTTTTCAATACCGAATGACTGAAAAAGGCAAACAAAAGTCCAAGTGAACTACCTACAAGATTGCTGAAATCTCATCGACAGCCTACGACCGGTTTCGCTCTTCTTGGAGCTCCTCAGCTGTGTGCATTCCCCGAGATTCCGTCAACCTTATATTCTACTTGAACCCACAAGAGATATCATAAACAAAGGATTCGGCTGAAGGTTGCTGAAAACTCTTCGACAGCCAACGACTGGTTTCGCCATTTTCGTGACTCACCAGGTATGCGCAGGTATCCGCCAACCTTATGTTCTACTTGAATATCGTGCCAACTGAAACATCAGGTGGCCTGTTGCAGCACATTTAGTTATAGAATATCATGAAAATGAGAGGTTCAGTTGAGTCTCTCGTGAAAACCAAATTGATTTGCAAATGTGAGTGTATTTCTCGAAAACAGTCCAAATAGCTCTACAAACGGCCAGAATTTTGCGAATTCTGGTGATGATTTTGTGCATTCTAAGAAACTTACTTGTACCATGTAAGCTTGTCCGTTCTAACTACTCTGTAATCAGCGGGCTTACGTTACTTGCACGCTTGTTTTAGAAAAAAAGGTACACTTGAAGGAACATGGCTCTGTACAATCACGCACGTCGGCGTACCGAGTATAAACTGGCTCCGTTTTGATTCAGGCCCACGTTACTTGGATGATATCATGGCCTGGTGTATGGTCGAAGTTTCTGCGGACTTCCGAACCAGTGGAGAGATTTGCTTGCTGAAATAAACGTCTAAAACTCAGTAGATATACGGTAACAAAGAAGTTCGAATAAGGTATCGCTCGTTCGCCTGTTACCCCGTCACAGGCTACGAGAAATTTGTAAAGCAAATTATCGAACAATTAACCAACTACTTTCAGGTGGTGGCATGCTACTTGACCCATAGGACTTCTGGCATTTATTTCACAGGCTCATTATTCCTAAAGTCCGGCTATATTCCTTAATTTTATCCAACCCTTTCTGGTTCCTTTGACTGCATTTTGATAGCTAACCTTGCAACTTGTCGAATATCTCCATTTAAGACCTGAGAGTTCAGTGAAGATGCATATTTTCGGCAAGTTTCAGCTGGCGATTTTAATGGAGAGCTAAAAATAGTTCACATGTCACGCCCTTTCGGTGCCTAACTGCCATGCCCTTCGAAGGCTGCACGAGGGCTGGGATACTCCCAGATTGTCCAAGCCCAGACAGGGGTAGTCGAGAGGCAGAGGTCGGGTTCGGACCACGGACCTTCCGGTCAATAAATTCGCTCTCTAGCCACATGAACCATCTCGCCAAAACAGAGAGTTAATCCTGTCAGTGGAGTCAATCTGTGTTTAAAAAACAAGAAGTATATTACAGATACTTCATCCCTGTTGGGAATCACCAAAAGTGCACATCTCATGAAACTCCAGTAAGGGGTCTCGAACCCGCGACCAGCGGTTGAATACTTGACTTTTCTATCTCCAGCGAGCAGTGTAATCAATTTTCACTAAGACGGAATACATTACCCATAATATTTTAACCACACCCTTTAATCAGATGGTGTCGTACTGACTGGCACCATGAGTAAGGACTTCTCAGATGGAAATTTCACTTATTGGGTGAATTCTATTCACCCTCTGGGCTACGTATAAATTGTTGGTAGAGTGAGGAGACCTGGAACGTTTGGTGCAGATTTTGCCCCATAAAGTGAAACCAGTCTATGCTAAAAAGCCCAAAGCACTACACAGCTGTTTCATTCTTATGGGGATCATTAGCAGTGCGCATCTCAAGAAATTCTGGGGAGTCTCGAACTTGCGGCCTCCAGACTACAAATCTGAACTCCTGACCATTGTGTCAGGCCGAATCATCAGTCGTCCGCAAGATGTTGACGTATCTTCCCAAGAGTAAAGCTATTTCGTAATTAATGAGGTGCGCAAACTAAACTCACTGGACAACTGTCCACTTCTCTTGCAGTGTGACCACGCTTAGGACTGAGATAGTTGTGATACTGTTTCAGTCTCCAAGAAAAGTTTTTTTTTGCTTTCTAAACAACCAGGTTAAGAGTTAAGCGATTACATCCACCGACACTGTCAATAATATTCAACGCAGTCTGTCTGGCCCCATTGGAAAAAGCTGGCAGTCAGTTTGCTCTCAACTTTGCGGATGTCCATCTTTCTCCCTCCCAGAAACGTTGGTGGTGCAGCGTTGCACTCTGGAGAGGGTAGTCCAAGAAGAGCTCGAACCGACACACTATAGCATATTCTCTGCCACCTCGGTAATCATCCTTCTACTTGTTCTGGGTATTCGTTCCACGCATATTTCATAAACTTTTTAGCTTGCGTGAGCCCTACAACACAGGAACTCCTTAATGATTGTATTGGCGGCATTTTGTGTCTTGGTGCTCGAGGTGAAACCGTGGTTTCAGACATATTTATCTCTTCATTGTCGATGCTTTATTTGCAGCTGTCCTAAACCATGGTCCGCATGCCCACTACTTCCTCTTTTGTGCCACGCTTGCTTCAGTAGTTATTGCTATGTTGTGTGTTCAGGACCCCGGGAAAGCAAAATCCAGATAGCAGTTTGCCTTCTTTAACATCCAGACAGTTTGCGATACATTGAATTGCTATACCAGAACTCAATTTTTGTCTGTATGAGGCAGGCGTCGTGACGTCCTTTAAAAGTTTAGCGCTCCACTCAACACTCATTTAAGGATCTACATAAAAACGTATGGTTGTTAGACCCGATCCCACATTTGAATCAGACGCTAATTTATGGGTGATTCACGACCCATCTGTTCTCTATACGAAGCAAATCTACTATGTCTGTGCCCATCAGCATCTACCGCCCTGCGACGCACCTACATTGTTTGCTCTTCTGGATGGTGTATCCTACATAATTGCTTATGATGTCGGCACGGCGATCAAATGCTCTAGACTGATAAGGCGCTTTCACGGAGTGATAACGTTCATATAAGTCGGCCTATTTGCTTCGTCTCCAGAATCCCTGTCCTTCATCTTCGTAACTTTATGGACTTCATAATTAGTCCTGTCATTTTTTCCATTCTAACGCATGCACCATGGATTTTACAGGCTGTCACGATTCACTTTCTTAGAGGATACTCTTAGCTATCTCCACAGTTCCCGTACAAACTTGTAAGCATATGCGCTGCGTTAGCAGTGGAAAGTGGAGTATTTCATACACGTAAACGTTTTACTGAAAAGACCGTACGCTTTGATGGAAATTCCTGAATTACAAAGCCTTAAGAGTCGGGTCCCGTGGACAGGCAGCCCATTAAATGTGCAATACATCCTCTGGACCTTCTAACGGGTGGAATTTCTGACCAAGGAGGGATTACAATTGAAAGGTTTATCCCAGAGTAAATCCTTTTTTTCTTTGGGTAAGAGTGTGGTCCCATCCCTCTGGAGTACAATTTCAATCGAAAGTGTCATTGGACAGCTCAGAACGTTTGTCTTCAAACTACAATGACTTCTTTGATTCAGAGTTTTGAGTAACATAAGTGTTTTTCATTAGTGAATGCACTTGGTTACTGTGGTCCCTTTTCCTCATAAGACACGGGACCAAGCACTCACAAGAGTCGCGTGTCAGTATGATTTTGTTCCGTCCCATCACACACCACATCTACTGTTCATTGTCCATAAGCAAGACCGTTCGCACTTCCACTTTGTTGTCTCTGCCAGCCTGTTTTCTGAAATTTGACGTACTAATACTTTGGGACCTTCTAGTTCATAGGCCGTAGTCCCGAAACTCGACATCTCCTGAACCGACTTGAGCGAAGGAGGCCACGAGTTTTATTACTTTGGTTTTCTTTAGGGCTGTGTATCAAACTCGGGAGATTTTACTCCCCCAACAGTTAACATCTGTCTTGGTTAACTAAACGTGCCGTCGAGAGGACCTCTAGGCACATATTGTATCCGCTTAAACTATTACGGGTGCATCGGATCTTCGAAATTGGCAGAGCTGGCAAAGTACCATGATGTGGGCCAAAAGCAAACACGAAGAAATTCACACTTTTATGACCTTGGGTTATTTCATTCCAGTCTGTCGCTGATCAGTCCAGCTCAGAATAATGCTTTTTCAGGCTCTGTGTATATCTGGGTAACTCTATTTTGTGTTAACTTGATGTTACTAACTCAGAGGTAGAAATCAAAAATCGTTCCTCGCTTTATAAAATCCAGCAGGTTTTTTCTCATAGATTCTCAGATGGTTTGTTCAAGAGTGTGAATAACTTCTTGCATCAGGCATCATTGACAGACTGAAATTAGTGTTTAGCATTGATGCTTCGCTGCTGTACTACCATGATTTATTTGAAAGTTTTATTGTGAAGACCAGGGTGAAGGTGGATAGGGAATGGACTTAGTGCTAGCTTATTACAGTCATTCCAAGGTGCCTACACCTCCAGACATTCACTCAGGCTATCTGGATAGCAACTGATAACAAGAACGCCAATGACATCGGTCGGCAGCCATATCTAGCAGCGTGTCTAACCAGGCACAGTGAGAGTATCGCAGTCCCCATCTTGGAGGGCATGTAGCACCCAAGCATTCCGTAATCGCCTTCATACTCCTCTGACAAGTCCAGGGTTAGCCACCTCTCTGCTTACGCCACTCTGATTTGAGCATGGAAAACATCACTCTCTTCGGCAAACGATGGTTCGTCGTGCGCAATACAAAAGAAAGACACATTCTTTAATGGAAATCCCCGTTGCACAACCGAAAACTTGATTTCTAACTCGTTGAGAAATTTCCGACACTAACCTACATCAGCTATGGTCCTGAGACAGCAATTGTTGAACACCTGAAGACTTCTCAGTTCCGCTGCTCGAACAGGCCAAGTCTCACCGCATAAAAAGCAGTCCGCACTGTAGCCTGATTCACACGTCCCTCGAGATCCAGGTATACACGCTTCGCCGCCATAGATGTCCAAAATTAGCAAACGTGACCCGAACTTTGCAGATTCATGCAGTGTGCCATCTCTAACACCAGAGGTGGTTTCCTGGGGCCGGTTACGCGGATCAACTGAAGTAATGTTCTGGCGTTCCCTGTTCTTTGGACCTCTTCCGTTTTCCAGGCTTTTTTTCCACCACAATTGGCGGTCGACCCACACGCTCACTTTTACTTGACGTCTGATAATTGGTCGCATCAGGTTATGTCAGGGACCGGCTGGGATATCTCTAGGAGACTTAAGCAGGTTGGGCATGATATTCAGTGCTTGGGTGCGCATGGTGGTGCCATACCATTGGCAACATTCCCAACACTGCACAGAGGTGGTGATCTCGTCCCAGTATGAATTCACATTTGATGGTAGGTTATTTGAAAGTGACTCTGGGAGACGATTCTGGTGGAATCGTCTAACATCAGGATCTGCCACTCTCCCAGTTTCCAGGTTATTTTTTCGCACATTAAGCGGTCCTGAAAACGAAGGGAGAACCAACTCCTGTCGGACTCCACAAATGTGCTTCAAAACGGGCGGCAGTCGATCATTGGTCCCAAACCCAAAGGGATGATTGAACCCAATGTTGAGGACCAACGTCGTGTACAAGATCCAGTGCGGAGATTGTGACAAACACTACGTGGGACAAACAGAAAGAAAGCTTTCTACCAAGATACATGAACACAAACTTGCAACCAAAAGGCACGACCAATTTTCACTCGTCTCCGTACACGAAGATCAAGATGGACACAAGTTCAACTGGAGCACCGTTCACATATTGGCTCAAGCGAGAACAAAGAAGGAACGTGAATTCATAGAAGCATGGCACTCCACTGAAAAAGCTCTCAACAAACACATCGAAATTGATCCAGTCTATGGGCCACTGCAAACAAAAGAACGCAGAGGCGGACAAAGAGAAAAGGAGCAAACAATCAGGCTGAAGCAAGGAAACTAACAAAAATAGAAGACACCTTCACAACTAAGCAGAATCAAGGGAGGAAGACCACAACGAAACACAAGCCGGGAATGGACCAATTGCAAACAGACCCNATCAAGGAAGGAAGACCACAACGAAACAGAAACCGGGACCGGACCAATTGCAAACAGACCCGGAACACCCCTAAACAGCCATCCAACAAACCAATGTAATAAGAGACACATTGACCACAACGCAAAACAAAATCACGATCGATCCTACCATGATACAACAGAAGGCATATATCGACTAGCCAATCACATGACAGGATATTGAATACTCTACAAAAAACTACATAAACGCAGCTAGGCACGGAGGAAGCACCGATTCAACTGCGCACTGACGATGTCTCCTCGACTGGGGACGAAACGCTTGCAAGCCAATCGCCAAGCTCGGCGAACAGATCAAACGGCCATCCGATCAGCCACCAGAAGTTAGTGCTGCATAAAAACAGCCTGCGGTCTGCACACAGCTGAGGCAGTCGTTCACCATTATCTGTACGTACTGGGTCCACCCCCTAATTGAGTCCCAGATATGCTTAGACTGCCTACTTGTGCACTCAGCTCTCCGGTGACAATAACGGTATCTGAGCCTTTAGCTTACCGCAACATGGCATTTAGGACGTCGTTAAACCTGTTTTTTACAGCGCCAATTGAGGCTAAAGCAGACACGATTAACAGATATCGGTCGATTTCCTCACTTGTGATACTCCTTCACAGACGTTGCCAGACAAACCGTGCAGAGACGACAATCAACGAATATCCAGTTAAGCAAGGATCCTTTCACCCGATGACTTGGAACGGGTGGATACCAACCCCTGCATATTTGTTTGAAGCAGCATCTAACAGATCTTTGTGAGCTGGAAAATTACCAGCGCTAAACACTAGTCACTTGACAGCTATGTGCGAAACCTTAAAGAGACATTTGGCTGCTTACCACCTTATCCTTACTGTCATTGTCAATATTCTGTTCTTTGAATCCGTCTGAGTCCTCCAAGTTGCTCCATACATACTTCCCGAATATATCTTTCTTTCTACCTCTTCCTTGTACAGCGTCGCACTGTCCGGAATATATTTTTGGTCCCGATTGTCGGACTGTCGATTGCCGCTCTGCTTATTCTGCCGATCATGTATGGACCACACGAAATGACCAAGCATATGGTGCCAATATGGGACCTGGGAACAGAAATCGCCTATGTTTCTTTGTCCAGACCGGTTTTCATTCTCGGTGTGGCTATCGTGGTCTACCTTTGTGCTACCGACTGGGCTGGTAAGCTGTTCTTTTCGTGGTGACCAAAGAAAAAAAACAAGGAGGCCTTTCCACTAAAGACATCCCTTGCTATTTTCGTTCGTTAAACCTGTATTAGGGCTTGTGTCTTTCAGGTGGAAATTTCCGATCTTGTTTCGGTTCGTTAAGGAAGCCACCGGAGGTAGTCACTTGGCCGGCAAAGATTCACCATAAAAATATGCCTCAATGAAGGCATCTTCCATGGGAAACGGTCTTTTTGCGGAGATTGTTTTTCCGACGGTGACAACCGTAATATATTCCTTCTGACTTAGGCTGGAATACGATGTCAAAAATAAATCTTTCCTAAGGATGGAGAACAACGTATTATAACTGCCACACATTAGTCAGGTGCGTTGATAGAACTCGACCAATAGATGATATATTTTCTGGAGGAGAAAAACCAATTGGATCAGAGTATGCATAGGCGAATCATCGTCAAGGACTGACGTCAGGATAGCCAACCACAAATCACATAAAATGGGTGGTATGGAGTCTAAGGCGAAGTGTTATACTACTTAAAATTCGTGTTACTTAGTCCAGTCCATGCATCTTCAGGACGGACAAGAACACAATATATTTCAATGGCAGAGTGAGCTAGAACAGCACTTATCAGGAACTTTGTACATACGAACAGTCCCCACTAGTCACGAGTAGTGGAGATTTAAGGTGTTCACCAGAAACCCAGAGAATGTGTTGCATTCACGTACACACTGTCCTTAAAAATACACATTTAGTCACTGGTGGGATTGTCTTATACATCTTATTTCAAAATTTAAGCCTAAGCAGGTCAACCACAGTTTGCGTTAAACTTGGCTGGTCAGCCGAGATTTTTCAGACTAAAGATTGACTAACTGAGTAGCAAAATTTTGGTATTCTCTGAAAAGAACTGTGTTTGTATATTCTAAAGAAAATGCCTGTTTTAAAGTCACAAGGGACATAAGAGCCATATTATGTTGGAAGGAGGAACCTCCGAAGAATTCGCAGGAGTGGATCCAGGTTGGGTTGATTTCAAAGGGGTATTGATCCAACAAGGATATCTTGCTGCCGAGACAACATTATTCATACGTACTCCGTTTCTTTTTGCTGACAAGTTCAGCGAGGCTATCCATCCTTCCTTCACTGAAACCGATCTTCCGATTTGCGATGCCCTACCCAGTTGACCTAAGATTGATCATCAGTCATCCTCTAAAAGTGAGCGATTTCAGCCTAATAGTTAGACTTCTCTGCGAAACTGCTCTCCCGGAAAATGTCAACATTTATCTTGTTAAGTTATGTCTTCATACAAATCAGGCTGCCATACGGCAGTAATTAACGAATTGAGTGCCTGAAGTAGCGGTGCGAAAATCTATCGTCCCATGGTTCGAACCAACAAAGAATGCTGCCAAGGTGTCTACTACTCTGCTGAGTGAAGGTTTGTCAAGGGCGTTCTATTTTGTGTCAGTTTACCCGCGAAAACGGCAAGATGAGCTGTTCGAACTGTTGACCAGCTCGATTATGACTCCCGCGTCCTCCAACTAAGTTGTAGCGGAAACTCAGTCCTGGTAAACGGTATCGAATATTTTCGCATGCTTCATTATAATGCCTAAAGGGGAATCGACATTCAAGTGGATGCATGACGGTCTAGTCAAATGTGAGACTTCACTTTCGGATTTCATGTCTCAATTAAGCAAAGGTTACAGTAGTGCCATATTCCCCAACGCTGAGCGTGGCAGATTTGAGTAGATTTAGCAGTGAGAGGTGAAATCGGTTGATGAAGGTGAACTAAAAGGCCCTTTATTATTACTTGAATACCAGTCAACGTACACGAAAAGACAGAGTTCTTGGACGGAACTCTAACCCGAAACCTTCCGCTCGCAAGACGAATACTGTACCAAACTGGCTACAGCGGATACGTGCCACGTCCCTAGTTTATCATATCTCAATTCAAGACCGAGTTACTTTGGAAATACTGGTGCTGTAAGCGCCTGGTCCATCATAAAATGTAAACGGGGGCTCCCTTTGGTACTGATAGACATCGGCTGTTAATTTGCCAAGAAGGGATTTGGTAAATCACTCTGGACTTTAGTGCACACGTGCGACGATGGACAGCGCCAGTGTTGGTTCAGTTGATGGAGCACTTGACAGTTAGGCGAGAGCTTGTGGGTTCAAATCCTGTTTAACGATCCTACCTTTCCGTTTGCAGTGTGCACTTTGGCTTGTATTCAAGATTTCCGAAATCCCTGCCTCTCATATATCAACTGATGTCCATCCCTGAACTTTCTGTGTTATCCCCATTGACTCGAATAAAAACCAACTATCAAAAGACAGTGGGGTTAGATTGAGTGCTGTCTGTTATTCTCGCTTAGGATTAGAGCAGGCCAACGGTGGCTCTATGGAATCAAAATAAAAAACAAAGCTATCCTTGACACGATCACTTCTTATTCCTAGTCTGCTTATCAGAAAGCCTTCACTTCTTTCGTGGTATCTTTCCTCCCCGGTTGCGTTTGTAGTGGATAACGCTAGCAAATACCAGTTCAAAGTAGTTAAATCAAGTGAGTAAAATTAGACGAGGTGATACAACTCACAGTTCGTCGGTACAGTTAGTTATTACCACCACAATAAATCCAAATCGATCTTCTTCCTGGAATCTTCCTTAATATATTCCTAGATACTTTCTATTCCGTCGTAGTCTGAAAGGTAGATCAATGCTCGTTAAGTCACTGACAGCGTAACTCGACACAGCAAGAAGGGAACACGCCTTTCACGAAGTACGGAATTTGTATTGTGTGTATGCATCCATATTTCTTTGCGTTCATTTAAACAAAAGTTATTCGGTATGAAGAGAAGGGGAATAAGCTGAGATTTAGTGAGGGCAATTTGAGTAATGATAAGTCACAAAGAAAGTACTAATGTACAATGGTCAGAAGAATCACCATAATTTTATACTGCATTCTTTCTGTTGCTTTCCCCATACACGCAGAACCGGTACGCCTGTTTTTCTCTTGGTCCGCCTTCCGCCTACCCGCAAGACTCACCTATGGTGCTTACTTGTTTCATCTCATTGTCCTCAGCTACAAGTACGGTGGAGCAAAGCTACCTATGATGATTGATACACAAACCTGGGTAAGTTTTAATGCGTCTGCCAATTTCGGTGGCTATGAGTCAAGGTTGGCCGGAGTGGATTTCGACCGCAGTGGATGGGGGCATTTATTATTTCAGACATATTGGGAACATATGCAGTCATTATTCCAGAAACAGCGCTCATTGCCTAAGACCAACTTAGCAGTGAGCGCTTAATGACATAATTCGTTCAAGTCAAAACTCGACTAAATATACGTGATACCCCTTTGCTGAAACACTTGCGGACCAAGAAATCCTTAGCCGAAATATCTTGAGCCAGTGCAGTGGGGTCCAAAACCTGGTTGATCATAAATCAAACTTTGTCACCTACAAACCAACAGCGCTTCTAAAAGAAATCTAGCATTGATCTAGTATGCTTTTGAAAAGGCGCTTGTTGATTGGCTCTTTGTGTGAATTAAGATTTGGCCAACCCGACTGTCTACTCATTTGGCATGACGATGATTTTGTACCAACAGCTAAATATTGGCCGGAAACATCCACTAACCTTTTACTAGATGTTTTTCCTTCAAACCAAAGCCGGCTCACCAACTAGGAGCACTTTATGGCTTGAGCCATTCCACAATTTCGGTTCAGAACGAGTAAAACTTCACTGTTGCCGAAAGCCGTATAAAAAACAGCAATTAGGCGGGCCAGTTAGCTGTATTCTAGCTTGTGTTCTTGGCGGAAAACACTACTTGCGAAGTTGTTGAAAATCCTCCGGCAATTCACTACCATTTCCACTCTTCTTCGAGCTTATCAGGTAGGTGCAAACCCCGAGTTTTTTTTCAACTTTATGCTCTACTTAAATGCAACATCGTGCTCAGTTGGAAAACTATGAGACGGCTTTTGTTAAGCTTGTTCTTTTGAAGAGCACCTTAAAAAGCATACAAATGAGGCTCGGTTTCAATCTCTTGTCAACAAGAATTTAACTTACAAATACATATATTCCAGCAAAGGCTAGTCTGATTGAAAAGCTGAACCTTTAAAGTCAGGCTACACTAACTTGTTTCAGACAACTGAAGTTGCTGCAAAACGCTTCAACGCAAGCCATGATTCCTGCTTAATGAGACTTCTGAAACAGAATCATGAGACGATGTTGGATGCGATGATGAAGTAGTTTGTAGACATTATTTGGTGGAATATATCACCACTTGCAATTGGAAAAGAGCAGCGGAGAGAAGCCCGAGTGTGTTTTATTACTGTTGTGTTTGTAAGTACAATCTTGACGTTAATCGTAATGTCCGCACTGGGTACTGATTGGATGACAGCAGACCCCAGATGACATGTCTTCCGGCGCTTTGTCAATGGTAAATGACTGGAATAATTGCAAAAAAATCTAAGACAGGCTGCAAAAAAGGTGGAACTTTCGCTTACTTGATGCGTATTACTACACCGTTTCTATCACAAAGAGTTAACACCCCTGGAAATATCTGGTTCGTTCTTGTAAGAGATCCTTGATAGAAGGTTGGGTCTCTTTTGTTGAAAAACAAACTTTTGCCGCAAATTCCTGTAAAATACTTATCGCAGATTTAGTTTAAGCTTGGTATGTCACTAAGTCACTGCCGCTTTCGGTTGACTAAAAGCTGTTTAGCTTTTGAGCCTGGCTGTTAGAGGGCGCGGCGGAGTGACTAGGATTTAGTCATAAGGACCGGGCCTCAGCAGACACCATGCGTCGAGTCCCCGGGTTTTTGCGATTCTTGTCCTTGTGGTCATTGTCATCAGTGAGTCCCTTGAAAGGGAGGGATTTCGACTTTGAATCGCACCAAGCACTGCAAACCGGCGACTTTCTTCTGGCTGTCAACGACGACTTATCCGATACTGCAGCAGTCGAACCGGAGCGATTCAAAGTAGAACTTATATTTGATCTAAACCAGACACCATAGTGAAAGAAGCCTGAAATCAGCAAGTTCTCCCGCGATCCGTTGATGGGACCGACCTCTATACACTGCAACTTTTGGCACTGTGAGTTACTGGTGGATATTTCGTCCTGTGCTGGAAAGCCGAGAAGCATTATACAGCTGTTCAATCCTTATGGGGAATCATCGGCAGTGCGCATCCTAAAAAAGTAGAGAGTTATTCGGACCCGCGAACCCCGTGTGAGGAGTCGCTACTCAAGCAAGAAGTAAGCACTTTTGTCCACGTGTGTGGATCCCGTGATTGAGGGCTTAGCGGCGCTATATCCCATCTCTATGTACGAGTTTATCACGCTGATTATCAACCACTTGTGGCTGAGCGGTTAAGAATTCACACTTGTAGTCGGGATGTTGCGAGCTTGAGTCTCGCTGGATTTTCGTGAAATGCGCACTGCTGTTGATCTGCAATAAGGATGAAATAGTTTGATGGTGCTTTCTGGCTTTTCAAAATATATTGGCTTAGTCTCTTTTGGATGATCAAAAAACATATCTAGCATTTTCTGTTTAACTTCTCTCCCTAGTATCCCACTTATCTGACCGAGCATACCAACCTCTCTTCTGAAACGCCTAAAGTTTGTAGAAAACTCTCTTGTGGTTTGCCTGACAAGGCTAGAAACGTGTTCCGTCTTTTTTTCAACATTTGCACAATCAATGTCACTGTTTTTTTCCAGCTTTGCACAAGTCTTTTTGTCCTTCCCTCTATCCAGGTCTTCACCTTCTTCTCAGTTATTTGTCCCAGTTATTTGGGAAGCTTCATTTTGACGATGGCCACAGACTCACCGGTTCTTGCACTGGAACGTTACTTGAGGTCAGACCGCTCCTGATACCCAGGGACTTGACCCTACGATAACGATTTGAGTTTCGCTCACAAGTCATTATATTTTGCTACATGGTTGGGTTTATTTTTGATTCAGCAACAGCTGTTTTACCCCCTTCAAAGATCAATAAACCCAGATATTTTCAACCAGTGAGAGTTTGCTCAAATGACCGTGTTGATTGTTTTAATTTAGATTTTTAATTTTTAACTGTATTCCCCTATCAACAAGTTTTAGTCCAACTTCTCACCGGTAACACTGACTTGTGTTATGTGGAAAATTGAATCAGAGTTTGGGTGCAAAGAAGCCTATGTCTGTATCTGTGAAACTGCAAATCAAGCATAATTACTATCAGAGTTTGAATAAATGACTTCTGATAGACTTCTTGTGTTTTGTCTCAAGTGATTCGTAATCCTTCTTTTAAAACCTTGTTTTTAATATGAGCTGTTGGTCTTTAATTTTTACATGCTTCGGAATATACACACAACCACCATACGGCATTTCTGCTTGTATACTGAATATAAACGCAACGCATTGAGGTGAGAAGCTCCAGCTGTTTGTGCTCTACCCGCACTAAACGAGGTTGCCGCACGCATGCGAAGATTTGGTCAGCTCGCGTATAGACATTCGCCAATTCCATCATACCTACTGTTCTTCAAGGCACCATAGTGCTTTAATAATAACTTCAATGATGCACTGAACGGACCAGTGTAAGCTAATCTAGCCGAATGTTACAAAAAATACCACTGAAAAGCCAGCGAAAGAAATTACTCTCTGACATTTTATTTGGATTGTATGCCGGCCATGCTTGACTGAAACCAAATGCTATTGATAGCAAACATGGTAAGAAAGGTCCTCACAGTTCTCACAAATCTGAGTGTGTTAATTAGCTAGGAACAATTTCCACAGAATCGGTACTAACCTTTGTGTGCACAGAGCACCCAAACTATTCGAGATTGACAAATAGCCCAAAAAATCCTGCTTTCTTAGACTTAACTCACAAATGCTCTTAACACAGTTCCGGAGACAGTAAAAATAGAACACAACACACACCGTCTTCATAACGGTGTGACCAGAAACAACGAAATTTCGAATGAAAAGTGTACGTTGTTTTGATGCCAACGAGCATGAGCCTGAAGAACAGCCCACAAACACTGGGACCCCAAAAATCACGCAATATGAATGCCACTTGAGTTTCCGCAGATAGTGATGAGTCACTTCGCTTTTAGTTGACCTTAGCGGTTGTGGCGTGGGACGTCAGGAAGTCAGCGGTATTTGACGTTCGAGAGGATATATTGACGGCACATGTCGGCTCTGAAATGTGGAGATATACAGATTGATATCAATGAATCCACATGGCACACATTCGCGCAGGTTGGGTGACACAGGAAAAAATACCGGAGCATGGCGACAACACATGTCTATTCAACCGAAACCGGACGTGTCGGGGGTACAAAAGCTGGGTTGAGGTCAATCAGGGGGGATGTACAAGCGGGATATTTCCTGTCGGGGGCTCGTGGTGGCTCCGCCGTGGTACCCGCAATAGGGAGACAGAGGGAGAGGCACACGTCAGGTCATATGATAAACGTGCAAGCAGATACAGTCGAGTTTCAACTGCGTCACACGGTTCTCAAAGAAATTGCGCGCCATGGCGGCCATTGGCCACACAATGCCCTTAGCTGCAAAACATTAGCTAGTGGAATAAAACTTTTTTGCACCAAAACGTTGCACATTGCTGCGTACGTACTCAAACCAACAACCGTCCTATTCTAGGTTCAATTTTTTGCTCACCATTGTCCAGTGAAGCAGTCATACCTCTGGCGGCAAAGAAATCTCGTAGAATAAATTCCTAGCGTCGCTGGAACACCGGGATTCTTAGATGGGGCTCAAATGTTTGGACTCGCACCCTGAGCTCAACTGCTTTTCTGTTTTAGTCCATCAAGGACACCCCGTAAATTTCAAAAATTCACTTCCATTTTGCGAATACTGATCGCCCGCACAATGTAAAGCGCATCATATAAACATCTGATGTGTTCCTGGGAACCGCAGACACCGTGTTGAGTAATGCTGTGGATGGTGAATTCTAGTTGATTTTTGCTTGCTTCGTGTTGATTGAATGATCAAGTTTTTGCAGTACCTGTGTCAATGGACAGACGCTTTAAGCTGAATTACCACGCCCATGCAGTGCACAACGCCATCATCAACGAAGTACCGATACGAACAACGGACACATTCTCACAAGTCCAGCTGATCAGAATGATATCTGTTGTCATGTTTTTTAGGCTGTCCACGTGGTTGTCTTGTCCAAAGAAACTTCCATGCCCAGCTTGCCAGTATAGGACAATGCTTCCCACTGCTTTGAGTGGATTAAGTTGCTGAGTGGCTGACAATGCTGTTAACCCACCCAAGTTGCTGCTTCGAAATTGAAACCTGAGTGGCTGACAATGCTGTTAACCCACCGCTCGACCAGACAGTCTAACCGGTTCACCTCAAGTAAGCCTCGTTGCAACATGGGTGAACAGCAAAGGCTGCAAAAGCTTAGTGGCCTGAGAACTACAAAAATGGTTGAACATACTCACAGGTGTATAAGATTCAGCACAGCCAGGTAACTTTTGTTATACAGAATCAGGACTGTGCGGAATCCGGTGTTTATCATATACTTACAACATGCTGCTTCAAAAATATGTTGATCAATGCAATCAATACCGGTGTAAACGTGTTGAAAAGTCAGTATAGTAATAGAGTATCTACCAGTTTTCCTCCTTTTAACTCTTCAAGTATGTTTCCCTTCAAACGCAACTACTTTGTTGAAAGAGACAAACAATTTGTACTAGCTAAGGATATGGCCGTCAGACCCTAATTCGACCAGATCGGACGCACAGCTGAAACTCAATTCTTGGGCAGACGATCGTAAGCCACCATTTAGTTGATGCGTAAATTGTTTTGTTACATGCAGATGACACTAACAAGGACGGTCGGCGTGCTTGGTCATCCGTTTACGGAAGCACTGCAGCTATGACAGTTAGGTATTGTTTCAGGTTGGTGGCTGTTTTTCGGTACCCTCTGAATGCGGACTGACCATGTGGTTTAAACGGCCTGTTTGGATAAAGATTAAATCTTGCATTGTACTCAGAAACGGGAATCTGAACGCTTCGGTTGTCCTCTGGTTTTTAGACTTGTTTATTCTCATTCCTACTGCTTTGATCGCCAAATAGGTCCAGCAATGTTTTATCTCACCACCACTGCATCCGTTTAACTAAACCGCCCTGTTTAATTTTCGAACAAATGTAGTCTACTCTTTCTAAGTGGAGTGAGATTTTCTACTCCCTTGGTAATTCGTTTAAAAATGATGAGCCCGGACTGCGCGAACTTTGTTGTCTCCTCCACTGTGAAGATCGGGATACTGGTTCAAAGCAGGATAGATTGGGTGTCGTTTTACGTTAATTTTAACCCAGGTTGTTTATCGATATGTTGAAAAAACCAAATAAGTCAAAGGTCTTCGCAAGCGAGAGGGCTCGCGAGTATAGATAACCAAGCAACGCTAACAAACTGTGAAGCCTGACTTACTTTACCTTGATAGGTTATCTGGCCGCTGAAGTCTGTTCTGTGCAACAGACTCACGCAACTGGCCTTTCGGTCAGCACCCTTCGAGCATAATCTGATGTCTGAGGAACTTGAAAAGTCGAATGAAATGTCACCGTACAACGCAATTCAAGCGCTTTAAACGTGCTCAGGGAACAGGTTTGAAAAGTATTAAAACTCCGTGGGTGGTTTGGTCTTGCGTAGGCGCATTCCACCTGGTTAGTGGGGAGGGGGCTTTATGTAAAAAACTGTCCAGACTATGTATCGTTGGTGGCCCACTACCTATTAAATGCTGATGTCTGAAAAACCTGCAATCCGAGGGTGATATGCTCACACACTGGCTCACACCAGATTTCGCCATCCCTGCATGGCAGACTCAGCTCACGCAAGTAAGCGATGGGGGTGTTTATACATTTTCCAACATAAAATGTTCAGAACACTAAAATCACGATATATACCATCTTTGATGAAGGATAAACTGGACTATGGATATTACGGAGTTGATTCTTATAAGAAGGCAAAATGTCGGCCAAAACTTGAAGAACATAACACTGCACTCATGACAATTGGTAACTTTTATTGTGGGTAAATTGTGACCTAGGATAAAAGCAATGAAAGCCGCTTTCAAAGGCCACTCGAGTACATTCAGTTTGTGAAAGCTATACTGTGGAAATGCAACTGCGTTAGCCATGAGTTATTCCATCGCATTGCACCCGGTGAAACCGAATCAGAGTGAAGCTGTTCTACATTATTTAAACTCGCTTTGCACAGATATGAGTAAGCCAGATGAGACGATAAAATATTCATTTGCTGATTACAGTTCAATGACCGGCTCGTTCATTTCTCAAATACGCTTATTACTTAGAAATTGGTTGAAGAGACCGGTTGATTTTAGACATTCAAAGAAGTTGTGTAGCATGCACAGCTTTTTATACAACGCTTGTCAATATGCTTTGTTTGTGGTTCTGGCAGGCGAAAGGCAACTGGGTGCGAGCATGTGTAGAAGCGGGTCTTCATCAGCTGTTCACGAATGCCCGCACAAAAATCTTCCTACCTCTCGGCTTTTGGTCCTCTTAGCTAAATGTTAGATCCCATCTGCGGACCCACGGTATGTTCATCACGCAACTTGACGGCCCGTTATGGTTGACGACCCAGAAATTCACTACTCGCTTTTGCAGACTGCAGCCTGCCAATGCAACGTGTACACGTCAGAGTGGTCAGCATGCGTCTATTTATTTTCGTTGCTTTGTGGAAAAACGTTGAATTTTGTTTTCAGCAAATTGTTGGTTAAATATTTTAGAGAGGTTTTCTGTCGCAACGCTCAACTCTAAATGCACCACGCAGCTTTACATTGAAGCAATTTCAGACCAGGTTACCCCTTTAAAAATTGGGATTAGTGATCTCACTAGTTTTAGATACGCCACAAACACTGCATGCTATTGTGCCGGGTTTTCAAAAGAGTTTCTGTGATTGCAGGCTCACTGACTACTCCTACACACTAATGGCAACCCTTATGAAAAAATAATGCAAAATTTTTTTGTAGTAAACGTTTGATAGCTAGCACTTTAGCCAACGCACTGTGATAGCAACTAAAAAGCCATCTCCGTCGTCTCCCTACGTTCGGTGTAACCATGTGTCCACTGCATTCTGCGGAAGCGAGTAAATCTATTTCAATATACAGTCCAGATTAGCATTGACTTTGCGGTTTTCTCGGGCAATCAGTTAAACAAAAGGTTATGCGGGCTATTTGG